CCGGAGCAAGTAAAAGCCAACGCCTGGCTGCCACTGTCAGGGCACAGCAGCCAGGCCAAAGAGCAGTGAGAGTGCCCACGCCAGAACCTCCTAAACCCGCCCTAGTGATAGAAGTGACGCTAGAGCTGCCAAACGGACACCCTCTAAAGATAAAGGCGCTGTTGGACTCAGGCAGCTCCTGCAATTTCATGAGCAAAGAGTTTGCAGCTGAACACCAGATACAGACAATCCCTTTAAGCAGCCCCTGCAGGTGACCACGATCGATGGCAGGGAGCTGTTGGGTGGAGAAGTCAGCTTGCAGACCGTCCCAATGATAATGAAGGTAGCAAGGCACACCGAACTGATAGCTTTTAATGTGGCCACCTTGGGAGGAGCTCCCATTATATTGGGGATGAGCTGGCTAGCGTTACATGATCCGCTGGTGGGCTGGCATCAGAGAGTGGTTTCTTTTGGTTCAGCACATTGCTTAGAACACTGCAAAGAGGGAAAGGGTTTGGCAGGGGTCCAAGCCACCCTAGCAGGGACTGAAGTAACAGAGAACGTGAAGGTACCACGACAATATGCAGATCTCCGTGACGTCTTCAGCGAAAGGGAAGCTGACCAACTACCCCGCATAGACCCTTTGACTGTCAAATCAACTTACTCCCTGGAGCACAGCTCCCTGTAGGCAAGCTGTACGCCATGTCAGACAGAGAGATGCAGGAGTTAAGAGAGTTCATTGACAAGAACCTGAAGAGAGGGTTCATCAGAGAGTCCAGGGCGGTGGGGGCAGCCCAGTGTTTTTGTGGATAAGAAAAACACGAACAAGCCGAGGCTGGTGTGTGACTTCAGGGCCTTAAATGCAGTGTCAGAACCAGTAGCCTTCCCTATGCCCAGGATTGACGACATTTTGACAAGGGTGCGGAAGGGAAAGATTTTTACAAAGCTGGACCTAAGGGGGGCGTACAACCTGGTACGAATAAGGAAGGGGGATGAATGGAAAACCACTATGTTCACCCCTTTAGGGGCATTTGAATATTTGGTTATGCCCTTCGGCCTCCAAGCAGGCTCCGCAACCTTTCAATCGTTTATGAACCACGTCCTGGGGCCTTTGCTTTACAAGAATTGTGTGGCCCTTTTAGATGACGTGTTGGTGTATTCTGAGAATGAGGAGCAGCATGTGAGAGACGTCAGAGAAGTGTTGAGCAGGCTGCAAGCCAACCAGCTGTGGGTGAAACTGGAGAAGTGTCAGTTTCATACCAAGGAGGTGGAATTCCTGGGGTATCGCCTGTCAGACAAGGGATTGGCCATGGATCCCGGCAAGGTCCAGGCTGTGCTGGAATGGAAAGCACCCAAAACAAAGAAGGATGTGCAGAGGTTCCTAGGATTTGGGAACTTCTATCGTAAGTTCATCCGAAACTTTGCCCACCTGACGGCGCCCATTACGGACTGTCTCAGCAGTAAGAAGAAGTTCGTGTGGACTGAGGAGGCGGAGCGAGCATTTGAGGAACTAAAAGGGCCTTCGCCTCGGAACAACAACTCCTGCATGTGGATTTACAAAAACCGATGAGAGTGGAAACTGACGCATCAGACAGAGCGATTGGGGCGGTGCTTCTGCAGCCAGGCAAGAAGGGGTCAGAGTGGAGACCGTGTGCCTTTTTTCGCGAAAGCTGAACAAATCCGAGAGGAACTACACGGTGTATGACCGAGAACTACTAGCCATTCATGAGGCGTTCCGGAGATGGAGGCACCTGCTAATTGGCGCACAACATAAGGTGCAAGTGTGCACTGACCACAAGAACCTAGAGTATTGGAGGACGGCACGAGTGCTCAACCAACGGCAAGTGAGATGGGCCCAGGAGTTCTCCAAATTTAACTTTGAGATTAGTTACGTGCCAGGCCCAGAGAACATTAGGGCGGACGCTCTCTCACGCAAACCTGAATATTTGGAGAGGGGAGGGGGCACCCGAAGAGAGACATGTCATTCCAGAAGACCGCTGGGTGTGTGGGGCGGCATTGGTGGGACAAAGAGAACTGGTAGAGGAAACAGAGAATGATGAATACGCCCAGAATAAGCTCAGAGGTCTTAGGGGTGATGGAGAGGAACCAGGGGTTTCGAGGAAAGAAATGGAGCTTTGTATTACAAAGGGGCACTGTATATCCCTGAAGGAGAGTTAAGGGGAGGGTACTCAAGCAGTTGCACGACAGCCCTACGGCGGGGCATTTTGGACAACACAAAACCATGTGGTTGGTCACCAGGGAATTTTGGTGGCCTAAGGTGAGGGAAGATGTACGTGAGTATGTAAGAGGGTGCGAGCAATGCCAGCGAGCCAAAGGGGAAAGGCGGGCGCCGGCGGGGCTATTAGAACCCTTACCAACCCCAGAACGACCTTGGGAGGCAGTGTCGATAGATTTTATGACTGATCTGCCGAAGTCCAAAGGGAAAACAGCCATCATGGTGGTGGTAGACCTACTAACAAAGATGTGCCACTTTGTAGCTTGCTCGCATGCAGTCACGGCGGAAGAGACAGCGAAGTTATTTGTAGAAAACATTTTTAGGTTGCACGGGGTGCCATTGAGGGTGGTCTCAGACCGAGGAAAACAATTTACTTCCAGGTTCTGGAGGAAGCTCATGAGCTTACTGCAGGTGGAGGTCAATTTTTCGACTGCCCGGCACCCTGAAACCAACGGGCAGGCGGAAAGAGCAAACGGTGTCCTCCAGCAATACCTGAGGTGTTATGTCAATGACAGAGAGAATGACTGGGTAGAAAAGTTGGCGCTGGCGGAATTTGCCTACAACAATGCCGAGAATGTGTCCACAGGGATGAGCCCCTTCTTGGCTAATTATGGGTGTCATCCCAGGGCTTTCCCAGGGGAGAGGGGAGAGATGGAGCGTCCCGGCAGCCGAGCATTTTGTGGAAGAAATGGAAGCAATCCATCGTCAGCTCCAACTCAACTTAGAAAGGGCGAAGGAAGAATACAAGAGGCAGGCAGACAAGAACCGAAGGGAAGGTGAAACCATAAGGGTGGGAGATAGGGTGTGGCTGTCAACCCAAGGGTTGCCGTTCAAAGGAGGTTGTAAGAAATTAAGACCCAGGAGGTTGGGTCCCTTTGAGGTCATTCAACAGGTCAACCCAGTGGCTTTCAGGCTCCGGTTACCCAACCACATGAAACTGCACCCAGTATTTCACAGGTCGTTACTGTCACCGTACGAAGGGGGACGAGAAGGGCTGGCCACTCGGGGACCGGTCGTAGAAGAAAGAGAATGCAGCAGCCATGTGGCAGAAATCCTCGACGCCAGGTGGAAGGGGGATCAGGTGGAGTATTTGGTAGCGTGGGAAGGAGAACCGGAGTCAGAAAACACTTGGGTAATGGCTGAAGATATCAATGACGAGGTATTGATAGAAACGTTCCATCAAAGGTTCCCAAGGAAACCTCAGCCTGTAGAGAGGTTCCGGAGGGAATACTTTGGGACCACTGATGAAGGGGAGGAGTTGGAAGGATTCCCGGACTCGGAAGGGGAAGGGGAGATGGACTCTGAGGAGGAGGTGTACTTCGAGACCAGGAACCGCAACAGGTTGAGAGAAGTGTTCGAGACATCGGAAGATGAAGGAAGTTCATTCCGGGGTTTTGCCTCCTCACCGCCCGTAGAGGAGGGGGCGAGAGGGGGTGAAGGGGGCCCTGGAGGGGGAGGTGGATGTCAGGGAACTGCCATCGGACGGAAGGGAGGTGGAAGGGCTCACACAGGTTGGGAGAGACGCAGCAGCTGAAGAGGAAACCAACAGGGAGGTGAAAGGGCTCACACAGGTTGGGAGAGACGCAGCAGCTGATGAGGGAACCAGCAGGGGAGAGGAGCTGAGCTGGAGGGATGGCTCAGAGACACTTCCAGCGAAAACAGTGGAGAGGTTTCAGGACCTCCTGTAAGAACACCCACTCCCGCCGGAAACTGTCACGCAGAGATTCCAGAAGACGTGTTTCCGTTAAGGAGCTTTTATGTTGGAAGCGATTACGAAAGCAACCACTGTCGGAATCTGCTAGTGACTAGAGTAGCCATGTCTGAGGGGCTCTGTCACAGACAGAGGTTTGTGGACTTGAACAAACTCTGAGGGGATACGATTTTACGCACAAGCAGCTCATCATCCCATCACAGGTATCACTTTCACAACCATAATTATTTGAGTGTGTGTGTGTTTTAAAAAAGTAAGCTTGCATACTCTCCAACATTCCTCAGGAGAAAATAGGGACAAGGCTCACTCCCACCCCTCAACTGACCCTCCTCAATGCTCCCATTTTGGGTCCGTCTCCCCAAAGCATGTGGGGGGGGGGGTGAGTGCCACCACCACCTCACCAACAGCACACAGCACACATGCCCCCCACCGTCCTCAGAAAACCCTTAAATCCTGATTTTATTTTATTCTTTGGTAGATTTATAGAAAAGAAAAAAACACACACCAATAACTAAATTTTGGAAAGCGGCAAGATTAGACATGGAAGCAACAAAGCATTAAAATAAAATAAAATCAAGACCCCTTGTGCTCTGCTCTGCTTCCCCTTTCTTCCCACCCAGGGCTTTCTGTGGGACATTTCTCCTGTGACTTTAACAGCAGCTTGAGCTGCAAACATTAGCAAGTGAGCATGCCTATCTTTTTCTGGGCAGTTGGCAACCCTTCCCACGAGGAGGAATGACGTTAGTGCAGCCATGTGGGGATGTCCCACAGGTCTCTTCAGCTCTGCTTTTAAGAGAGGATGTGTTCCCTCATCTGTGGAAAGTAAATGAGGGACAAACTCTGCTAACATTCCCCACGGAAACGTCAGAGCAGAGGAATGTCTTCGTTTTTAAAAGAAGTGCCCATATCCCTCAGACTGGAGCCAATGACGCTGTAAGTGTGAGCAGCACCAGCAGGAATGGCCCAAGACCTTTTGCTGCCTGAGATGGCCACCCACTCTTCATGTACTGAAGCCAACCAGACTGGTGGCTGCCTTGTTTCAGCACTTTCAACGGGAAGAATTGCAAGGTGAAGGCCTAGCGCTCAGTGCTAGAGCATCTGCTTTGCAGGCAGAAGGTCCCAGGTTTAATCACTGGCTCTCCAGGTAGGACATCCTGGTGAGCTGCTGCCAGTCAGTGTAGACAATACTGAGGTAGTTGGGCTAATGGTCTGACTCAGTGTAACACAGATTCCTTTGTTCCTATGTAAGGATGGTGTCCTCCACTGTTCCTGAGGCCAGTACGCTAGCTCAGGAGATGCAGGGCACCCCACAACTCTGATTTCCAACCCCTCATTGCCATTTCCCCCAGCATCTGAGATAGGTGGTGCATTCTGTCTAATGGTACGGCCTGCCTTGAGCGCCAACCTTAGTTTAAATCAGAGGGTCCAATAAGAGGTAATCCAGCAGATGTTGCTGAACTCCATCTCCCATCATCCCAGATCATAGGTAATGCTGGCTGGGGCTGATGGAAGTTAGGCTCCAGCAACATCTACCAGGCACCATGTAGTAGGCTACAGTTTAAATTCTTTGGAGCCCAAATGGAGATGTCTCAGGAAGCAAGGGTTAATTCTGGATGCCATGAAAGAGGATGCTCAAGTACGGGTGCCAGAAAGGTGCCTCTGCAGCGGCTTGCTTACCAACACAATAAAACCAATCGACTATTTATTTCCTTTCTTAAAAAACAAAACCCCGTCCTCACATCTGTTCTTGATTTCCAGTGTGGCGTTGCTGGGCTGGTTGTGAGCAGCAGGTGCTGCGAGTATCTGGTGAACATTAGGGAAGAGTCAGTTCGGAGGCAGAGGCGACGCCAGGAAAGGCTGCCGATTGGACAGATGTTAGTTCATTACTGTTAACTTGGAGCCTCGGATATTTAAGGGAACAGTTGTTTGTGGGGGAAACACAGCTGTCAACGGGGGGCGATTTTGACGGAGGAGAAAAAAAGAAAAGCAAATTTCTTCTGCTGGCCAAAGGACACAGAAAGGTAAAGCTATGAAAGACACGCACACAAACACGCAGTACCCTCACAAAATCAAATGGGCATTCCCTGCCCCCCCCAAGAAGCACAAATTAGGCAAAAGGTAAAGGTAAAGTGACCCCCTGACAGTTGTCCAGTAGCGAACGACTCTGGGGTTGTGGGGCTCATCTCGCTTTACAGGCCGAGGGAGCTGGAGTTTGTCCGCAGACGGTTTCCAGGTCATGTGGCCAGCATGTCTAAGCTGCTTCTGGCGAACCAGAGCAGAGCATGGAAACACTGTTTACCTTCCTGCCACAGCGGTACCTATTTATCTACTTGCACTTTGACGTGCTTTCGAACTGCTAGGTTGGCAGGAGCTGGGACCGAACAACAGGAGCTCACCCCGCCTCGGGGATTTGAACCGCCGGCCTTTCGATTGGCAAGCCCAAGCAGCACAGTGGTTTAACCCACAGCACCACCCGCGTCCCTACAAATTAGGTAGGTTCCCATTAAACTGTGACTTTTCTCCCTTGTCCTGAATGCACATTCTTTAAACATCTGTGTCCATGCATCTGGGAAACCTTTAAAGTCACATTTTCATAGAATCACAAAACTGTAGAGTTGGAAGGGACACCCCAAAAGTCATCTAGTCCGATCCCCTGCAATGCAGGAATGCACACATGCATCGCATCCACACTTGAAGCATTTGCTGTGGAAAATGCTCAGGATACAGCACTGGCAACATGTCTCAGGGTCGAGGAGACAAATTTTGGTAACTGCTCCACCTGGCACCCTGTGGGAAAGGTGGGACAGGGTGGCCCACTCCAATGCTCCAACTGCACTGGGAGCAAACTGTCACGACCTGCCTCCTCAGTGATCTGCTCATGATGTAACTGGGAACTTTTGATACCTGGGATTTGCTTTCCTTCTTTTTGCAACATACCGTATTTTTTGCTCTATAAGACTCACTTTTTCCCTCCTAAAAAGTAAGGGGAAATGTGTGTGCGTCTTATGGAGCAAATGCAGGCTGTGCAGCTATCCCAGAAGCCAGAACAGCAAGAGGGATTGCTGCTTTCACTGCGCAGCGATCCCTCTTGCTGTTCTGGCTTCTGAGATTCAGAATATTTTTTTTTCTTGTTTTCCGCCTCCAAAAACTAGGTGCGTTTTGTGGTCTGGTGCTTCTTATAGAGCAAAAAATACGGTACTAGGTAGATTGTAAGCTTGCAGGCGGAACTGAAATTTGTGTACAGCACCTGAAATATTTTAGGCACTTTATAAATTTGTATGTAGGCAGGAAGTTACTTAACTTCTCATTCATGGTAGATATTTCCCAGTGATGGAGAGACTGACAGCAGAAGCGTAACAGGATGTCCTTCAAAGGCAGTTTGATGCTACTGCTGTGATTTTTGTATCTCAGTTTCTGGACTTCACTGGCTGATCTTGCCTGCTGGTTTGGATCACCAAAGGATGGAACGGGGTGGAACGATTATGAAGGATGGGCAATCAGGTGTGCTGACCCCATTAGGGAATCTGTCAGTTTTGATTTCTCTCTCATTATTCTATTCTTGTGTTCAGTTTGCCACATTTCCACATCAATCTACTTAAAAAAAAAAAGTCATCATGAAACCTGGATTTATATATTTATTTTAACAGGATTTATATACTACTTCATTCTCAAAACCTCTAAGTGGTTTACATAGTATGTTTTAGTGTGCCTTTCTCATAAAATGTGGATTTTTGTATGCAAGTTTGCCTAATATACACATTTTTGCAAACTATGTTCCCCAATACAATGTGTTTCTAATATGTAATTTTCAGTATATTATTATTTATATCTATGAGTCACCTGACGTATAAGGAGTCTCCAAGCAACTTACAAAATGCAAAATAATTGCATTTTACGTGCAATTTCCTTTAACATATGCTTTTTTTTGTACATATTATTGGGTTGCTGAAATTGTATGACAAAATTCAGAGAAGTGCAACTTTCTAACTCTAGCCACAAGAGCAAATCGGGTAGGTTTGCATTAAATTGTGAACTGAACCCAACTCCTTCACCATTCCTACCTGCTATTTGCCTTCTGGAAGCGGCCTCATTTCTTTAGTGAGCATCTTTTCTCCGTTTGAAACAGGACCAGCAAGCCTGTATATTGTACAAGGATGAGAATTCGGAACACCGGCTTTGTGAGATGCCTCCTCTTGAATTTAAACTTGAGATCTGCTCTATCAAAAGCCAAGAGTTCTGAGCTGCTACCTTCAGAGGAGGTAGGCAAAGATCTCCACAGCCTTTAGTGGAACTGCTAGATATAAATATATATTGGTAAGTTAAGCAAAATTAAAGAAATGTTAAGAATTAACTAAGGGCAAGCAAGACTGAACGGATAATAAGATACCTCCGGATGTTCATCATAGTGGATTTCCAGACAGTTAAATTGTTTAATGTGTTTCCTTTGGTTCGCCTATCAATCTCCCGGCCTGTCTGAAAGGCCCTCCTAATATTCTTCCCCCTTTGACGTGATTATCGCTTAAATGCCTCAGTGGCACAACAGCGGTGGCTCTCCCACCAGGTAGGGCCTGTGATTCATTGATGGCACTCGGGTGTGGAAAATTGATTGCTAGCTATTGTCAGCAGGCTCCGATTAACTCGCCAGGGTTGTCTCTGCGACACAAATTAATAGTGGGGAGAATAAAAGCAGGGAGAATATTTTTATTAATTAATCACTTCCTGTAAATAAATGAATCGAGATTTTTTTTAAAAAAAAAACTTTGCATATTAAAAAGTCAAACCATTCAGTTTGTTTCTAAAAATGGGAGCACCCTCCCTCTGGGGCCCACCACATGTTGGCATAACAAAGGAGCTGGAGGAAATATGAATGTCGAAGGCACGATAGTCTTTTCAAAACTTTCGAAACAAGTAAAGATGAGGTCCAGCTCCAAGGGCCTTTTGGCGGTTCCCTCGCTGCGAGAAGTGAGGTTACAGGGAACCAGGCAGAGGGCCTTCTCGGTAGTGGCACCTGCCCTGTGGAACACCCTCCCCCAGCAGATGTCGAGGCAATAAACAACTATTTTACTTAGAGTAAAACTGAAGGCGGCCCTGTTTAGGGAAGTTTCTAATGTCTGATGCTGTATTGTTTTTAATATTTGGTTGGAAGCCGCCCAGAGTGGCTGGGGAAACCCAGCCAGATGGGCGGGGTATAAATAATAAAATTATATTATATTATATTATATTATATTATATTATATTATATTATATTAATCAAGTCACCCTGAGTCGATCAAGAGATTATTCCAGTAGCCTTTGAGAACCAGTGAGAACGTACGATGGTGCGGCTGATGGAAGCTGTATTCCAAAACATCTGGAGGACACCAGGCTGGTGAAATCTGCCGTGGACCACTGCTTGTGCTCTGACATCATGTGTTCCTATATTCTGCCATCCATTCTGCTTAATGTGAAGATAAATTCTAAGTAGGCCAGTGACCCATTTCCAAATGATTGATTGATTGATTTAATATCCCACCCTAACTCCAAGGAGCTCAAGGTGGCATGATGTCATGGACTGGTTGGACGTAGAGGAATGGCGGGAAGAACAGGCTGGGGAAGCACCAAGGCAAGAAGTCTCAGAGCCTGGGGATTGGTGGTGGGACAATGATGAGTGGTCAGAGGGAGCAGACTGGAAAGTGTCAAAAGCTGAAGGGGTAGAATAACAGAATCTTAGAGTTGGAATGCACCCAAGGGTCATCTAGTCCAACCCCTGCAATGCAGGAATCTTAGCTAAAGCATCCACGACAGATGGCCATCCAACCTCTGCTTAAAAAACGGCCAAGTCCACCACCACAAAACAAAGGCCAGGGAAAAACCAATGCTGTTCAGGGTTGTAAAGACTGCAGAGAGAATAAGTGGGTGAATTCTTCCCACCTTAGATCAAATCTATGCTGTCAGGTGCCATAAGAAAGCTGCAGAGATAGTGCAGGATAGTACGAACCCCGGAAATGATCTCTTTCAGCTTCTGCCTTCTGGAAGAAGGTATAGGGTTATAAAGACCAGGACTAGCCACCTGAGAAACAGTTTCTACACAAATGCAATTCTGGTTCTAAACGCAGCTTGTATTTTAAACTGGGGTTTCAGAATTTTTAGGGGGTTTTGAATGTTTTA